GCCCCCCGCCGCCTCGGGGTGCGGCCGGGGGCTCCCAGCCCGTCAGGTTTCCAGTGAGTGCGGGGGACCCTCCCGCTTGCTGTCACCGCTCCCCCGCCCCCCGCAGCCGGCCAGAAGCAGGGCGCTGGGCTTGCTGTGTTTTCTTCGACCACTGTCCAGCTGCGGGCGCCGTCCCTGTCACCCTCGGTGCGGTGCACCCGAGCCTCAAACAGCCCCAGATGCGCGGTGACGGTGACGGTAACGCCTGGCCGTGCTGAAGGACTGGGTGAGGACAGGGCTCCCCAGTGCCCAGCACATGGCAACGCCGGCCGCACCGGAGGCCCTCCGTCACTGCCGCCGAATGAAACGAATGACGGGGGCCGGGGGCCGAGGGTGGGGTCACCTGACATGTGTTTGTTCATTCAGGGGATGTTTGCCGCCGGCCCGCGGGCGCCAGGCCCTCTGCCAGTTGCTAGGGCTGCAGATGACCGAGACAGCCCCTGCACACAAGACCCATGTAGAGCGAGCAGGGACTAGGCAAGGAACATAGGACGGAAAAGCATGCCTCGGATTTCCCGCAGAAGCTTTCGGTGCCCCCAAGGAGAGCCACTTTAGTGGATCAGGAGCCAGACCAGGCTGCTGAGGAGTGACTGGAAAGTGAGGGAAAAAAGAGGAGAAAGAGAGACCAGTCACCACGGGGTGGGGAATAGAGCAGAGGGGAATGCCAGCCCTACCCTTGCACCTTTTTCGTTTTCCAAGTAAAAAATAAGTGGCGATCGTGTGTCTATGCCAGCCCTGTCTAATAGAAATATAATGGAAGACATAAACATGTAACTTTGCATTTTCTACTAGTCACGTTTAAAAAGTAAAAAGAAATAGGTGAAATTAATTTTAATGATGTATTTTATTTAACCCAGTGCATTCGAAATACTTCAATGTGTAGTAAAAATTAAGAAATTAACGAAGTCTTACATTTTTCCCCACACTAAGTATTCAAAATCTGGTATTTTATACTCACAGCGTATTTCAATCAAAACAACCACATTTCAAGTGCTCAGTAGCCACAGGTGGCTACCGCATTGAACAGTGCAGAAGAATCAGGAGAGACAAATGTTGACCATGAAAAAGAGAAAAGAACAATGTACCCAAAATTGTAGAAGGAGTTGGCATTCAGAGCATGAGTGGAAAGATTAGTTTTAGACAGGAGGAACCTTTTTCCTGTGGGACAGAAATGAGAAAGCGTGGATTAAGCTACTCATGAGTTCAAAGTAGTAAGGAATGTCAAGAAAAAGAAGAGAAAGGTGAGGGAGTTTTGGTCTAATTGATTTAATTTTCTTCGTGTCATCTGCGAGTGAAGGGGCCTGCAGTGACCAAGGGTCTTCCTTCTCAATGTGTGCTCCCTGTGCCAACAGCATCAGCATCCCCCAGGAGCTTGTTAAAAATACGGCATCTCAGTTTTCCTCCCATACCTGCTGAATAGAAGCCTGCATTTTAACAAGATTACCGGATGATTCTCATGCAAATTATTTATTTGAGAAGCATCATAGTAAAAGTTTCAGGGGAAGGCTGGGAGTTTGCAGTGGCCACTATATGGAATAGGAAAAGAAGCATGGGGGCATCAGGCAGTGTCGAGTCCCCGCTAAGCTTAGAGACCATTGGTGTGTGGTGACACCAGTTTACCCAGTTATGAGACTTACCAGCCCACTTACAGAAACAGAATGGGAACGATTGGACTGATTCAAACCTGGAACTTAGTTGAGCAGAAAGACAGGGATGAGTGAAAGAGTTAAAGGTGTTAGAAGTGATCTGCGGAGGAAGAAAGCAAAGCCTGGAGCAGGGTGATAAACCAGGAGCAAATGGAATGGTCAAGGGTTTAGTAGGATTGCAGAACAGGTGAAATGAGCATAGGAGTGGGTGAGTTGGAGAGGTGGGAGGCTGTTTCAGCCAGTTAGGAAATCCACAGAAGTCATCCTTGTCCAGCCTCCTATTTGTTGTAGCAATTTCTTCATACACCGTTTCAATGTACCTTCAGTGATGGGGCAGCCTGTTGTTTCCTTGGAAGCTCTAGTTCAAATGCTACTTATATAGGCCAAAGTTTACCAGCCCGAAAATTCCATGTTGATTCTAGTTCTGCCTTCTGGAGTAACATAGTATAAGATTAAACAAGTCTGTTCTGCCTCCTGTTTTATAACCCTCAAATATTTGAAAATAGCCATCATGCTTTCTCCAGACTCAACCTTCAAAGCTTCCTCGGCTATTACTGAATTGGTATGGTTGTGGTTTGTAAGCAGGCTGGTGGACAGGGCCAGAACTTAATAAGGGGTTTTTCAGCGGGCACTGAGCTCAGTGAAACCTGAGAAGATGCCGGGGCACGTAGGCCTTTCCCACAGATGGAAGATGCAGCAGCAGCTTGAGTCTGTGGATGACTGGCCTCTAGGGCCTCGCATCCCAGGGAATATGCCAGGCTGGCTCTTGATCCAGTTTCACTCACTCACTGTCTTACTTAATCCATCCCTGACCCACCAAAGCAGTTCTCTTGGCTTTTGATGCTGATGAGCTCCATAAAGATGAGGCTTATCCAGACAGTATGAAAACTATATTTAGTTAATCTCAGCTGGCCAGTTAAGCAGTCCTCATGTGATCTGAGTTTGGATTAGGGCTCCTAACACTCAATGTCTTGTCTCTCCACTGCACACAGACTTCTGAGTGGGACTCTGAATGCCTTACATCCCTGCAGCCCCTACCTCTTCCCACGCCCCCAGCAACAAACGAGGCACACCTACAGACTGCAGCCATCTCCTTGTGGACAGTGGTGGCAGCCGTGCAGGCTATAGAGAGAAAGGTGGAAGTCCACAGCCGGCGACTCCTGCACCTAGAAGGACGGGCAGGGACAGCAGAGAAGAAGCTGGCCAGCTGTGAAAAGACAGTGGCAGATCTTGGGAACCAGCTAGATGGCAAGTGGGGCGTGCTGGGGACACTGCTGCAGGAGTACGGGCTGCTGCAGAGGCGGCTGGAGAACTTGGAGAACCTGCTGAGGAACAGGAACTTCTGGATCCTGCGGCTGCCCCCAGGCATTAAAGGAGATATCCCTAAGGTAGTCCTTCAGTTCTAGATGAAAGGAGTAGTCTTGGTCAGTCAGTTAGGCCGAAGGACCACAAAGTCATCTTGTGTTTATCTATTTGGGAAGCATTCCATGTTCAATTCAGAGATCATTCGAAGTGTCAGATTTCAGGTTAGGAAGCTCTCCAGCACAAAGCTGGCGATCTGGCAGATGGATTTTTTCCTCTCGCTTTCTCCTACTCATTACCCCCAAGGCACTGTTTTCTTTGTTAACCTGTCTGCCGCCATCTCGGTGCGGAAACTAAATTAAATATCATTTAAACCAGTCAATTGGAATTTGTTGGCAATTCTGATGAAAAGGTTAGAGGGAGGACAGGGGAACGATATAGAGTAAATGGTTAATAGGGGCGATCTGTAAGTGTAGGACTGACATGGACCCTGTCCTTCAGCATCCTTTATAGAAGTGTGCTGCAATGCTAGGGCCCAGCCTTTCCGGAGGGACTAGCCCATATAACAAAAGAAATAAACTTCATTTTTAAGCTATGGAAAACAGTCTTGAGGCAGCTAGTTCCCAAGCATACCCATTTATTCCTTCATTCAACAAATATTTCTTGAACACTAACTGTTTTGCTTGATATCTGCATCCTGAAGGCACAACAGTGAACAATTCACATAAGCCCCTTTGCGGCTTAAACTTTAGTGGAAAAAGAAAGATGATATAGACAAACAAGGAAATTAATTCATTTAAGTGCTTTGATAAAAATGAAAGTGCTATCTGGCGATTTATTTTAGATAGGATGTCAGAGAAGGGCTCATAAAGGAGCAGGTATTTAGGCTGACACTGAGTGACAGGGAGGACCCAACTGTGAGATCTGCAGAAAAGCTTTCTAGTGGAAAGAATACCTCATGCAAAATTTCGAAGGCACAAACTGGGAGCACCAAGGAAGAGGAAGAAGGCCAGTTAGCGGGTGTGCATTGAGTAATCAGGAGCACGCTGGAGGGATGGGTAGGGGTCACGTCATTTAGGGCAGCGTTTTTCAGCCCTGGCTGTATGTAGGAATCACAGGTGAGCTTTTAATTTTGATGGACATCAGACCTACAGATTCTGGTCCAGGATGGGGCCTAAGCATTAGTAATCCTTAAAGCCATAGATGATTCTAAAATGTACGAGAGATGTTAAGTGGCCTCTGAAGCTCGAAGGTGAGAAATATTTGTGAATTGTGGCTGTATAGATTGTGTTGTAAGTCATGAGACTGGAAATGGTTACCGTGGGAGGTAAAGTGGAGAAGCCAGAGAAAGGGTCCAGGGACCAAGTTCCAAGGAATGGTCAGGAGGTGGGAAAAGGAAGAAAACAGGAAAGTATGTGGGGGCAACAGGGACAGGGAGAAAAGGCGTTTCTAGTAGGAGTTATCATTTGGGTTATGTTACTGGGGAGTCTAGAAGGTGAGGATGGTGACTATGATAGGATGACATAGACCTCGCTGGTGACCTTAACAAGACTCATTTCAGTGCAGTGCTGGGAACGGAAGACTGAATGGAGCAGGTCAAAGGGAGAGAGTGGGGAGAGAAAAAATGGGGAGAATGACAGCTGACTCGAGGAGGAGGTGGCTGGGGGCTGTCAGAGTCAGTACGGAAGAGGGCCTTCCCCACAGTGTGTTCTGTTTGTGTCTGGAGCCCCTCCAGAAGTTCTCTGGGATAATTTAAACTTACTCTTTACCATAAGAATAGCAGAAAAGGTAAATTAAAGTGACTTATTGTCTTACCTGGATAAATGGCTAACAAAATCATACATAAAATCATGTTGTGATTTAAAGATTTCTTAGTGAAATTAGAATATTTTGAAGATTTGCTAGATTGATTATATAGAAAATAAACTTTCGTGTCCTTGCTTTGTTGAAAATACTCTTATTCTGCCCTTACTTTTGAATTCCAAGTTCAAAATAAGTTTCCCTCGAAATTTTTTTCTTAATTTTAATTTTTAAAATTGTGGTAAAATATACATAGAATGTGCCACTTTAACTATGCTTAAGTGCACAGTTCAGTGGTGTTAAGTACCTTCACATTGCTGTGCAACCACCACCACCACCACCACCACTCAAACTGAAACTGCTCCCCTTAAACAAACTCCCCACTCCCCTTCCCCCAGCCCCTGGCAGCCACCATTCTACTTTGTCTCTGTGAATTTGACAGGTGTTATATAAGTGAAATTATACAATATTTGTCCTTTTGTGAATGATGTATTTCACTAACATACCATCTCCAGGTTTGTCCATGTCAGATTTTCCTTCCTTTTTAAGGCCGAATAATCCATTTCTCTCAGAATTTTAAAGGCACTGGTTCTTTGTCTCACAACATCTAATGGCATCAATGAAAAGTTTATTACCAAATCAATTATTTGTTTGTAAGAAACCTATTTTTCTCTCTCTGGAAGCTTTTATCTTCTATTTCTAGTTTTTTTTTCTAAACTTTATTGAAGACATACATGTCTAGGTGTAGGTCTTTAAATTTGTGTTGAGCTCTTGATGTGGCTTTTCAGTCAAAAGACTGGGATCTTTTTGGCTCTGGGAAATTTTCTCCTGTGAATCTATTTTTATAATATTTTGTTCCCCTTTCCATTTCTATTTTTATAATATTTTTGTCCCCCTTTCCATTATTTTTTGTTCTCTTTCTGGAACTATGGTTTGACAGATAGATTATTGTCTTTCTCAACTTTTCTTTCCTACTTTTTATCTTTTTAACTGGAGCTCTGTGACTTTTCCTTCCAGCCTTTCTAATTTTTATTTTAACAATTATATATTTAATTTTCAAGAATATTTATTTTCTGTTCCTTTTTAAAAAGCAGCCTGGATTTTTTTAAAATGGTTATAGTACCTATTCAAAGACTTTTTATCTTTTTAACTGGAGTTCTGTGATTTTTCCTTCCAACCTTTCTAATTTTTATTTTAACAATTCTATATTTAATTTTCAAGAATATTTATTTTCTGCTCCTTTTTAAAAAGCAGCCTGGATTTTTTTTAAATGGTTACAATACCTATTCAAATTTCTCTGGGAATGTGTATTAGAGGTTCGTTTAATTTTTAGTTTATTATTTTTTCCTTTAGGATCACTTATAAGGTTTGTTCATCTTACACTAAATGGTTTGACTTATACTTAGTAGTTAGCTCACATTTAAGATTAAAACTGTAGAAAGCTGTCAGGCGGGAGGAGGAAGAGCAAGCCGTATGACGAAGAACAGCTAAACACCAGCAGGAGGAAAGCTTTACACGAGGCGACAGGGTCCATACTGGGAACTTTAAATTCCCCAGGCAACTCTTGAATTTTTTTTACAGATGAACCTTCCAGTTTTTGCCTAGTGATGGATACCTAGCTTTAGACGAAACTATTCTGGAAGGTGGAGGGATTCTCTTCCGTATATGACATTTCCCTACGTGAAACCAGTGAAGCAGTATTCATAGCTGTCCTCCGAAAGCAGTCTCCATTTTTCCATGCTTAAATGTTTTTCCTGTTCCCATTAGGCCTGTTTATAACCTACTTGTCCTTTAGGACTAGCCAAAGTCCCATCTCTTCTAGACTCATTTCAGCCCCAGTATAGTTCTATTTCTAAAATTTTTGTCCATGTCACTAATTTGAATTTAGTCATATGCCCCTTTTAGGTAGAAACTTTATTTTTATAGTCCAGGTGCTTAGAATAAGCCTTGTACTTAGCAGATATTTAGAATATGTTATCTTATGTGAATTCAATACTGCTTCACATTTGTACCTATCTCTGAATGATTGCTTATAAGTAATGTTCCCCAAATTATAAGTAATGTTCTCCCAGATTTATAGCCCTAAACCTTACCACCTTTCTCCTTGAAAACATCATCAGCTCCTGGAAGTTGGATCTGTGTCTTGTTTCCCTGTATCCTTTCAGCATCTTTTATAACTAGTAGGCACTTAGTAAAGATTTATTGAATGATTGAATTGCATTGGGAGGGATTAACTCCAGTGTGATTGTAATTTCAGGTGCCTGTGACATTTGATGATATCTCCATCTACTTTTCCACTCCAGAGTGGGAAAAATTAGAAGAATGGCAAAAGGAACTTTACAAGAATATCATGAAGGGCAACTACGAGTCTCTCATCTCCATGGGTGAGGCTAAGTTGGCACCTTTTGAATGAGGTGACAGCAGCTCTAAGAGGGCTCAAAACAGTCCCTTTTCTTCCAGTGGTCCTCATTTTCACTCTGTCCTCACACACTTCAGATTCTGGTTCCTAGCCAAAGATTTCCGGTTCACCTTGCTAAATAGGAAACATAATCTCTCCTTGTGCCAATCGTAGGACAGAGAATGAAGTTCAGGGTTATGGGTGCGCCAGCTGCAGTGGTTTCCATGGGTACCCTTCACTTTGAAAGGGCCTCGATCTCTCCCGTTGAGGCACACTGTCCTCTTACTCAGTGAACGTAGCAGGCCGTGCTAAAGTAGCGCAAACGCCTTCCCCACACGCTACTCTCCTCTTACCTGCTTTCCCACGAGATTTCATCCAGAGTTGGAGGTGAATGGGGAGAAGTGATCTAAAATCTAAAAGAAATTCCCTTGGACTGGGGACCTCAAAACCTTTAGCTCAGCCTTGACGGCAATTAGTTGTCACTCATTTATCTCTTTGTCATTTCCCTTCTTCCTCTTCTAGATTATGCCATGAATCAACCTGATGTCTTATCTCAGATTCAGCCAGAAGGAGAACATAATACAGAAGACCAGACAAGGCCACAGGAAAGTGAGATTCCCACTGACCCCAGTGAAGGTGAGTGGGAGAAGAGATTATCCACTCCTTGTTTCCCTTTTAGGTCACAGATGATGGCTCAGAACTCAGTAAGCAGGGCTAGGGGCTTCCAGAGCTGCACGGTGCTAAAGCAACTAGACCATGACTGGATCTCAGGCATTTACATAGGAGAGAGCTCAGAGACCACCTTGACCCGTGCCTTCACCCATCAGTACCACACTTCTGAGGGCTGTTAATTGCATTCCATGACAAAGGTTCTGAGACCTAATTATTTAGTAAAATAAGCATGTCTTTAGATGGCCGAGGAAGCAGTGGTGCCTGTCTGGAGGGAAGTGACTTCCGGGGAATGTATGCCTGGTCGTTTAGAAGTGCTGGAGGGGCAGGGGTTCAGCCTGGCCCCTCAGCGATGCACTTAACCAGCAGACCCCAAAGTAGACTTTGCCCCATATGGGAGCCAGCTGTCATTAATTAGCCCTCTAATATTTTTGGCTGGCAGTTGCTTGATAGTGTGTGGGAAATTGCTAGCAAAGTCCAGTTGAAGAGTTTCTCCCAAGTCCCACCTCTGCTATCAGAAAAATCTCATTACATTTTTGTTCTTTGGTGGATAAAAAGCTCACAGAAAGTTCATCCTCTAGACATCTCTGCTCGCTAAACTTCTCTTACAACCCCACCCCCGTCCCGTATACTGTTATTTTTTTCTAACATTTTATTACAAAAATTTTCAAACAATCAGAAGTCTTAGTAATTTTACACTGAACACCTAGATACCTATCACCTAGATTCTACCACTAACATTTTACTCTGCTTCCTTGTCACATATATATCCACCTCCACATTCCCCTATTCATCCATTAATCCATCCATCCCAAAATCAGTACAGTCATCAGTACAGTCATCAGTACATTTCCCCCTAAATAGATAGTTAAGCATGAATATCATTGACCTAAAGTTCAATATTTGTTTATTTCTTTTCTTTTGAGGTAAATTTTGCACACAATGAAATGCTCAAATTTTAACTGAACATTCTAAAGTATGCTTATAACTGCTACACATTATTATTTTTTAAAGAATGTGTGGGTGATTTTAGGCAATGTTATAAGTTGAATTTGATTAACATCTTTGTCATGGATATATGTAATGAATCTAAAATCATTACAAATAAAGATGAGTGAGTTGATTACAGAAAGATTCATTATTGGAAATAACTCCTTGGTCTATTATTACATGATATAACCATCAGCAAGAATAAATCAGTGTGTCATTTTATTTTGGGGGACAAATGGAAAAGAGATAAGTTATTTAGTTTTGTAAATAATATATGAAAGTTTCATATAGCTGCCATCTTGTCAATTTACTTTTATCTTGGTTTTTAAGATTCTATTTGTGGGTAATCAACCTATGTATGTTAATACATTTTTACTTAAACAGTGTAAGCATTGAATTTACTTAGTACTGTGGTTTGATTCTTTACTGTTTTAGCTTTCATTGGCGATTAGCAACCTAGGTATTTAGCAGAACTAAGGATGGGAATCATTCGACTGGGACTGATCAATATATAGCATTTTTTAAAAACCCTCAAATGTGTCTATCTTTAGGACCATTTATATTTTCCCCCCTTTATGTTTAACTATATATTCAAGACTTTTCATTCAATTATTTCCTTTGTGTTGCTTAAACTGTCAACTTGGCAGGTAAGAGGACTTTAAATTGTTTCCTGTGTCCTCCCAGCACTATCTCAGTACTTACTTTCTTTAAAAATAAGTGTTCCAGGTTGTGTTGGGGGTCCCCAAGACCACCTCTGGGTTCAGTAATTTGCTAGAAGGAGACACACAGGACTCAGCATGTGGTCATGCTCAGGGCTGAGATTTATTGCAGCAAAAGGATACAAAGCAAAATCAGCGAAGATAAAAGGCTCACAGGGCAAAGTCTGAGGGAAACCAGGCAAGGCTTCCAGAGTGTTCTTGCGGTAGTCTCTCAAGATACGTTAATTCCTGCAGCAAGGAGTTGTGACAACACATGCAGAGTGTTGGCTCCCAGAGAAGTTCAGTAGAGACTCAGCGGCCAAGGTTTTCCTGGGAGCTGGTCACGTAGTCGCCCTCTGCCGAAGAAGTCCTTAAACTTCAGACTCCCAGAAGGAAAGCAGATATTGAACAGACACCAACTGTATCAGTAGTTTAGGCCCCCAGAGGCACTCTCGACATTTAGGGAAAATTTTATATCAGTGCAGGGAACTTTCCAGCCAAGGGCCAACCTTGCAAGCAGCCTTTGTAAGGATAGGCAGTCTCAGGCCTGCTGTGTTAACACAGGCCGAGTTTAGATTTTCCTTCTAACACATTAAGTCCTGGTTCCTTTCAGTGGAGAAGAGTATCAGACTGGTCACTGAGGCAGGTAACAGATTGTTTCACAGGCATACTGGGTGGAGGATGCTAACTCTAGGCCACTTTAGTTACAAAACTAATAAAATATCTTTTTGATAGATACTCTCCACTTAACTGTAACCATTTAAATCATTTTTTTATCTTGTTCTAATAGAAGAAAACTAAATGTTTTTTATTTTTGATCAAGCAGCTTCTCTCTTTAACATCATCTTAATTTTCATATACCATGTAATTTGTTGTTAGACCAAGTGATTTATATTAGAATATTGACATACTTAATTTTCTAAAATATATTTGGATTTTATTCATTTTCCTTATAAAATAAAACCCATAATTTATTATCGTATTCTATTTTAGATCTTTGGGAAGAACTGTGTTATAATCAAATAAAAATGTATAGATAGAATAGATTTAGAGTAGGTAATGGTACCATTTGGCACCCTCTCCTTTTTATTTAATTCCAGAATTTTTCTCGGAATTAATTTTATACTCTCCATCACCAATTGAATGTAATAAAAGAGAAATTATTATATCCTTGTATGGAATAGTCACTGATGCTTAGTATCCCAGATGAAGTTGCATACAATTATTAGAGAATAGTAGTGAAGGGGAGAATAAAGAAAAGTATAATCCTGAGATTTTCTGAAATTCTTTAACTCTCTTACTAGCGCGAAACTGCAGACCAGCCGTGTGTATGTGTCCATTATTTGGTCATTAATAGTTTTAATATTGAACTCCAGATTTTTAGAATTCTTTGGAGAAAAATTTTACCCAAGATATTCAGGTGGAATAATTACTGAAAGTCCATTATTTAGCCCTTCTTCTAGTTTGGAAGCCATGGAGTCAAGCCAAGATTCTAGAATGACCCAAAAGTAAACTAAATTCATTTCTAAATCTTATAGTCCTGGGGAGACTTCTTTGATCATTTTCACTTCAGATGCATCGCCATTATTCCATGTTTATCCCTGTTCCCTATGGCTCAGCAAGGTCATCTTTTCCTAAATAAATCAGTGATTAAGGCACATCCCAATATGATAACTCTTTTATTTTCATTTATCTTATTTGAGAACAAGAATCATCCTAGAAATGATAAAACTTAGAAGTTTTAAATTATTACAGAAATACTCAACATTCACCTGGCTAAATTACAGTCTCACACCTGTTTAACAGAAAGTTTTAAAAAAAGTTTTTATATTTTTACCAATGGTAGTTTTTTATGTCAAGTATTTTTTATTGTCTGCTTAAGAAGTCAGATCTCAGCATCACTTTCGACTCAGTTTATAGCATCTCTGGATACCCAGAACCCTGAAAAGGTTCCAGCTCTTTTTCAGACAGCACAGGCCCTTACGTATTTGAAACACACACACATACACACATATACACACACACACACCTTTTCAGACAGCACAGGCCCTTATGTATTTGAAACACACACACACACACACAAATTAGAGTTCCTTATAGTTAAAATCATATTCAGCCAGTGTAAATATTACAATTTTATATTTTCTTGTGATCAGCCTTTCTATTAACCACCTCCTAAATATAAAACTTCAACATTTATCGACTTCCTCTTACCTGATCAGTATTCAGTTTTTCTCTGTTCTCTGGCTTTCTCCAAAGCCTACTGCTTACATGAACCAATGATTTTACTTTTATTGTGTGTTTCTTTAAGTATCCACTGTTGGGATTCCTCGGGCCTGTGAGGAATGTGCTTTGAGTGCCATTGTGGTGACCTGGCCAGCAGCTGCTATACTGTCACCACACAGGTATCTGTTTGTATCAGGCCATCTTAGAATTGAAGCTCTCGGGCTCCTTTTATTTTACTTCCTAGGTCCTCAGGTTACACCCTCCCGCCCAACCCTGGTAGATATAACCACATTCTGTGCAGTCTGTGACCGTAGTGCTAAGACCCAATTAATTAATAAAATATTTATTTAATTGTACTGATCTAGTTAGTTAAGTGACCAGAGGAACTTTTAGCATCATTATTCAGAAGGAATGGTTAGCTTCCTGGGGTTTCCCAAGTTTGGTAAAAACATACTTAGCCAGTAAGCCAGTAATAGCAACAGCCACTTACATTTCTGGAGAACTGGCTTGTTTTTTGTTTTATTTTGTTTTGTTTTTAGCCCTCCATAGCTTTTATGGGTGGCTACTGACTAATACTGTAACAAAAGACTGGAAAGAATCCAAGTGCCTATCAGTAGGGGACCCTCGAATAAACCGTGGTGCAGCTACGGGGCACAGCTGGGAAAGGGTGTGAGAAAGATCTCTGCTCCGGACAGATATCCAGAATACACTGTCAAGTAGAAAATCAGAGTACAAAACAGTTCGTGTAGTATGCCACATAAAGAGGGAAAATATTAAGATGTATACATACTTGCTTATATTTTCACAAAGAAACAATGGAAGATTAAAAAAACCCAGTGAGAACGGCTACCTATTCAGGGAGAGAGAGAGACTAGAAATGGAAGCTGGACCTCTCCGAATGTACTGTATTTTATAGTTTTGATTTTGGAATCTTGTAAATATTTTATATAATTAAAAAATTTTTTAAATCAAACATGCTGAAATAACTATCATGTTGGTGACAAATACATAGATTTCTTTCAAATGACTTTAAATCATAGTATTTTAACTATATATCCCTAGAAGGATATACCCCAAAGACCAAAAGAACCAAAAAATTTTTAATTGAGTTCATAGTTTTGTTAATAATATTGGTATTTTGAAACATATATTCAGAAAAGCAAAGATTATGTTAATGTCATTAGAAATCAAATTTTCAGGGTAAGAGAGAAAAGATATAAGTATAAAATCAAGTAATTAAAACTCTGTTATCTTAAATACGAATATAAACTCGCAATACTTTTTATTTATAGCTTCATTCGTTGAAAAGATCTAGAAGCAATGATAGCCTGTTAGCAGTTAGCGTCCTTGTCATCCAGATTGTGGTCTCTAAATTTCATCTCTCAGATCACTGATTGTATGCTTGGAGGAGGAAATGTCCAGGATGGACCTGGGATAGTCTGTCATATCAGAATTGAAGAAACTAGATGTTCGATAATGTGAAATGATACAAAGCTGATCTGAGGGCTTCCCACTGGCCAAAGAAGAGACAATGTGAGCATTAAAAAGAGTGACTGCAATGGACTGAAACTTAGCAAATGTATAACATTCTACGAGTTTCTAATGATAAACCAAAAAAAAAAAAAGTCAAAACCACTTGAATCACATTTTTGGAGGTTTCTAGACCACTAACTCATTATTCAGAAACTGAGGCAGAGAAACAATTGAACATTTAAAAAGTCTAATTTTTGATGAATAGAAGTTCATTCTCTGGATGACTGTTAAAAGATCCTCTTCCTTATACCCAGCATCTCCCCTCCTGCTTCTTGATATATGTGTATGTAAAATCTGGAAGAAAAAAAAAGATAAGGTTGGAATGTGTTTAATACATTTCAGCCTTGCAGCTCAAAGTAGGAAGTTGGGAAGGCAACCTGCCGCATGTGCTAAAACCTGTATTTTCCCTGTTCTCTGCATCAGCTGACAGTCTTTGGGGCTTGCGTCTTACCCACCCTCTTATTTCTGCTTTGGGTACACTTTTAGACTACAGTGGTCTCTAACTAACTTAAAAGGCATTACGTAAACCAGCAAGTTTTCACTTGCTAGCAATAAAGCCATAACCTGCCTACAAAGCTTTTCTGAGAAATAATATAGAGAGCTTGAATTTACTCTCTGGACCTTGTCAGCTTGCCAGCTTGTCCTCTTAGGCCAAAAAAGGTTATATAGGCCTCGGCTAGAATAGCAAGCACAGCTGTTTCTGCACTGATCACATGAGGGATGTTATGTGCAAAGCCTTCGGAGGCTGTTTTTTTCTTTCTAAAAGACTCCTCAGGATCTGAGAGACTTGCAAATACTGTTCTCCCCATCCCAACGTTCAGGGAACAATGACTTTTATCATTTAATAAGCAAAAGTAACATGATCTCTTAGAAAGAGCCTACAATTGGGAACTTGAAAAGTATGTTTCTGAGGAGTCAGGTCTGTGTTTAAACTTTGTAATTCTAGAAATGTATTTGTTTTTTAATTAACATTTAAGAAAAAAATGTTTGGTCAGTCTTGTTTCTTTGCTTTTCTCCTGCTGTATTTTAAAGCAACTTTTGATAATATGGCATTTCGCCGTAAATACTTCTTTATTGTCAATTTATTTAACCCCCGTGGTCCCTCTCTACTTAAATGGAGAAAATATTTCCCGCTTCATTATTTATTTAAAAATTCGTGAGACAAAAAGTGAGAACATTTTGAAAGTAAGTACGCCAATGAAATTAAAGGGACTATTGATTCTAGATTATTTCAGGGTGTCATCTCCAAAATAAAAATTGTGATTTGTTTTGAAATCTGTTTTGAAAATTATTTGTGAATCAAGCTGAGTATATCATATAAAAATATATAAATTTGGTTTAATTTTGAACTGGTTCTCTAGATGTTATATGCTTTTTTTTCTTTTTTTAACGTTGATTCAGTTTTGTTACGGTTAGAGATAAACATTGGGACAAAATGTAGTGTTCAATAAACCAACATGATTCTTTTCACTTTCTGATTCAAGTCCCTGAAGGCCGTTCTTTTTTCCCTCCATAAACAGAGCCTGGCATTTCAACATCAGATATCTTGTCTTGGATTAAACAAGAGGAAGAGCCCCAGGTTGGGGCCCCACAGGAGTCCAAGGAGAGTGACATATACAAAGGTACCTATGCTGGTGAGTAATGAATCGAAGAGACTTTCGTGCCCAGGTCCAGCTTGTGCGGGGACTGAGGGAGGAGAGCAGGCGAGATGGGGATGAGGCAAGGACGTGGGAGAAGAATGGGAAAAGGAAAAAAAAGACATGCTCGAGTAAGTGAGAGAGGAAACCAAAATCAAACTAAGATCAATTTTAAGTGAGAGAACACACGCTTAAGTGTAAAGAAAAATTAGAATTGTCAGAGGAAGAAGAATAAGTGCATACAGATGGCCCACAAGTATGAGGATGGGGAAAGATAAAAGAACATCTAAAGATCATGTAGAAAGGACAGAACAAAGAGGGGGCGGGGAGGAGACAAGCAGCGGAGACAAAAATGTTATTGGGGAGGCTCGACGGGAGCTCTCAAGAAAGACAATGATGGGAAGAGAAACAGATGTCTTCCTTGTGAGATATTCAGTGCCATCTATATTTTGCCATCTGAATTATAGAAGAGAATCTCAAGGTCAGAAGGGACCCAATTGTTTATAAAATTAATGCAACCTGTTTTTAAATATCTTCTATGCCTATTTTTTTTTAGACTCTAGGAAATAAAAATAGACAGTTTCTGTTCTTCAAGACATTATATTGGGGACACACAGCAATACTAGGCCTGCCTGTTGTTGAGTGTTGAGGGTGAGTGCTACGGATGACTATAAGAAATGAGAGGCTTGGAGAACACAGATCAGTTTTAGTTTAGGTATTTAGGTTTTTAGATAAGGCCTAAAGAAGGATGTGAAGCCAGAATCGGACCTGAGAAGATTGCTGTGATATGGTCGGCTCTAATTTGGGAAGACAGGGGATGCATTCTACAAATGGGAGGATAGAATGAGCAAAGATGCGAAGCGGCAATGTGTATTTTATTTTCAGGGTAAGTAAAGAGACAGCCAACAATTGCAAAGGATTTATCTGACAGAATAAAAAGGAATAGTAGATAAATACATGCTTTTAGTCCTTGTCACAATAGGCAACAGAGACTCTTTCAAAGTGTATGCAGAGGCAGACGGTAGGAAAGTGCTGGGAAGTTTGATGGCCAAGGTTGTTCCTTTCCAAACAGGGAACATTGAAGGGGCTGGTAGTAAATTCTCTGCTGATCTGCGGGAGGGAGGACAGAGGCTTTGACGATGATCTCAGCCCTCGCCTGCCTTTCTTATCTGAGCCAAGTAAGAGCTCAGGGCAGTGAGAGCTGGGGAGGAACAGGAGAGGCATTATGAGGCAGTTGTTGACAGGGGTGACTCTGAGTTCTTTCTTTCAGATGAAGAGCTTGTCATCAAAGCCGAAGGCCTTGCTAGAGCCTCCTTGTGCCCCGAGGTTCCAGTCACCTTCTCTTCTCCACCACCAGCAGTAACAAAGGATACTTTTTCAGATGTGGCTTTCAAAAGCCAGCAGTCTGCACCCATGACACCTTTTGGACGTCCGGCCACTGACCTGGCAGAAGCCTCTGAGGGACAAGTGACTTTTACTCAGTTGGGTAGCTACCCCCTGCCGCCTCCAGCGGGAGAGCAGGTGTTCTCATGCCACCATTGTGGCAAGAGCCTCAGCCAAGACATGTTGCTGACCCACCAGTGCGGCCACACTGGTGAGCACCCCGTATCCTGCGCCCAGTGCCCCAAGCACTTTGCCCCGCCGGCCGAGCTCGGCAGCAACTCCCAGGCCCACACCGCTGAGACACCCCCGACCTGCCCGCACTGCGCCAGAACTTTCACGCACCCGTCGAGACTCACCTACCACCTCCGGGTCCATAACAGCACCGAGCGCCCTTTCCCCTGTCCTGATTGTCCCAAGCGCTTTGCCGACCAAGCCCGCCTCACTAGCCACCGGCGCGCTCACGCCAGCGAGAGGCCTTTCCGCTGCGCGCAGTGTGGCCGGAGCTTCAGCCTGAAAATCAGCCTCCTGCTCCACCAGCGCGGGCATGCGCAGGAGAGGCCTTTCTCCTGCCCCCAGTGCGGCATTGACTTCAATGGCCACTCGGCCCTGATCCGCCATCAGATGATCCACACGGGCGAGCGTCCTTACCCGTGCACTGACTGCAGTAAGAGCTTTATGCGCAAGGAGCACCTGAAAACCCTGCTGACCCCCCGGCGGCTGCACACGGGCGAGCGGCCCTTCAGCTGCGCGCACTGCGGCAAGAGCTTCATCCGCAAGCACCACCTCATGAAGCACCAGCGCATCCACACGGGCGAGCGGCCCTACCCCTGCGCCTACTGCGGCCGGAGCTTCCGCTACAAACAGACCCTCAAGGACCACCTGCGCTCAGGCCACAGCGGAGGCTGTGGGGGCGAGAGTGACCCATCTGGACAGCCGCCTGACCCCCCGGGGCCCCTCCTAACAGGGCTCGAAACCTCTGGCCTAGGCGTTAACACCGAAGGTCTAGAGGCCAGTCAGTGGTATGGAGAGGGAAACGGAGGGGGAGTTCTGTGAACCTCCTTTCCTGGTTATCCCTGCCCACCTCAGGGCAAGAGAAAGGCCCGCGAGCCCCTCCACCCCCACAGTCATCACTTTTGGCACTTCGATGAGTTTGGGGTACCACGCACTTGACTGGGGACATGCTTGAGTTTTGGAACTTCACGGCATTACAAGAACACCACATTTTGAAATCCAGAAAGACCTGGAAAGGAGCCCAGCATCCCCATCTTTTCAAAAATATGACCTAAGCCGAAGTTGCAGAGAGATAGGAAAGCAAGGTTGAGCCTCATGGTAATGAGTGAGAATGATTACAGCCCTGGGTAGGGACCGGTGTCCGGGAAGGGCCTCCAAAGCTCGAAGCTGGTCCTGAGGCAGGGAGCCTTTCCGTCAGCCTTTCCCCCGATGGTAAGACAAGGAAGCGCGCAAGCTCCCACACCAGCCTAGGTCTGCGCCTGTGCTAAGCACTGCCTCTCCCGAGAGGAGAGCTCTAAACGCCTTCCTAGGTTTCCTAGACTAACTCTTCTAAATACATTTGGTTTAATACTGGGTGAGCAAGAAATCTGACTCTAAAAGCGTTTTAAGAACAGTTCTTAACTTTAGCTTGATTGAAGCATTCAGCCTCTTATTGGCATCTAAAACTGCTACACACCTCTGCTGAGATCCTGGTTAAAAAGTTGAGAGCAGTGTGCTCAGCCCCAGTTTTAAAAGCTGGAGGTCCCAGAGAAATGACAGAACAGTCTAAAATTTGTGCCTGAATCTTGTTTCTGAGAGTCATTGCATCAAATTTTTCCTTATCATTTACAAGCCAATAAGATGGCTTTTTTATTTCTGGTGTCTGATATTCTTGACAGCAGAAAAGACCACAGCACTTTCCAGAAGCGTCGTGGTGTTTTACAAAGCACCCATGGACGACGCTCGGCTTTCATTTCCTTAGTAGTGAGGTGATAGTGTTATTACAGCTTTCTTGAGCCATCAGAGAGTGTGTGTTGACCATCTGGCTGTCCCCCCATTGGCGGTGGACTGATCGAGGGACTTCACAGGTCACTGAGAGCTGCTCACCGCCCAGACAAGGACAGCCTCTTCCTGCCGGTCTCCCTGTTAGGGAGCTTGGCTAGAATGTACTCTTTGTCAGGGTCATTCAGTCACCTGGGAGCGTCTGAGCCTTGTTCTATTCCTAAGTGGCTTTGCAATTGGACATAAATCTCTTTTCCTTTATAGATCTCAAATTTTCGTCACCAAAATGAGGTTGGTGAGAGGAAAAATGTGGGCCTCTAAATTTTTTTAAAAAAATCTTTTGATACATTCCTTCTGCCAGAATCCTCTCTATCTCTGGCTTCTATCCAGGCAAAGCCAAATAAGACAGCAAAATCAAAGCAGAGACATTCTTGCTGAAACTTGACTGAAATCAATTTGATTTGTTATTTTACTCTTGCTTAGAGCCTGAGGTAGAAAGAAAATGCAGAAGCCTTAAGTCTTGGGCAGAAAAACTGTTTATACCTGCACTCTCTTGTTTACCCTGGCTCTTCCCAAGATGCCTGGAAATAAGGTCTGTGAGGATTTAGACAGGACACTTTCTTGATGAAATAGTCGAGGAAGGACCCATTTTTTCCATATCACCTAGCCCAGCATTTACCCTGCCTTTACCCCAGCTAGCTTTGTTCCTGGGGAGGCTCTGTCTGAACATGCTGCTTGTCTGGCTAGTCATATTTATAAAACATCTGCTCTGTGACATTCACAATACCAGGGATTGTGGGAGACCTAAGGAATGTGTGTGAGACCTGGTCTGACTCTAAAAGCGTTTTAAGGAGAACAGTCCTAACCTACAGTCTGAAGGCAGTGAAGAAACCCAAGGGTATAGAACAAACCAAGACAAATGATGAACACAGCCCTGGCTTGTTGGGCTTAAGAGCTTCCTAGTTAGAATCTAGACCCATACTATGGGAAAATCAGGTGGTTCTGAGAGTTCTAGTTTTGCTGGTGACCCACTCAGAGCTTGAGTTTGAGCTTCAGCTCTGGTTTGCACCTTGATCTCTCTAATGAAATGGGAGAAGAATCAGTACTGCCTTTAGGTGGTGCACCCCCTTTTCTGAACAAATCTAAGCATTTTCCAGGGTGTGCTGGAGAAGGGATTCCTATAGTATGTTGGACTAGATAACGTGGAAAATTCTCCTTCACTCATAGATTTACTGAGGACACAGCTTACTAATAAAAGAGACATGTAGGTTAAAATACTGCATATATATGATCTCACAGTCTCTCTGTAAGGAACTAGCCAGCAGGGACCCAAACTTTGGCAAGAAGTGAACACAGTTCAGATACCAACAAAGCTGAACGAAAGGGAATGGACAGGGCCGTGCGAGAAAGCCGGAAGTACGTGTTATCCTCATCTTCAGCCCTGGTGCAGACTAGGGAGTTCAGCCGTGGTACACTCTGGTCTCCTTTCCCTCCACCAGTCCTCTACTGGGTGGGACTCCAGGCCAGCTGCAGACTGGAGAGTGGATAAGTAAAGTGGATCAGTGGAAAAGATAGTCCAACAGAAAGGTTTCAGTGTGTGGAGAAACTTGATCCATCAAGGGCCCCTGAGACAAGCCATGCATTTAACTCAGCAGCTGAGGAGGTACCTGAGGACTGGTTGTCCTGAGCAGAAGTGATAGGAAAGAGGAAAACCCAGGAATGTCTCATCAGTCCGCTCTCTGGGCCAAGAATTCTGTACTACCCCATAAATAGGCGCTGTCTCCTCGGGGTGGATCCAGATGTTGACTATAATCAAATTCGCTCTTCGCTTACTAGGTTTTCATTGTTACCATAAGATGAACCCCTGGTTCCGTTACAGATGTGAAAATAAATGGAAGTTGATCACTTGTCTAGAAGGTGAAAGCTGCTGACTGATTGATCCTTTCTGCTGGGTATCCGATATTGGCAGCACCGTGGCTGGGCTCTAGCTAGAGCAGTTCTTTGTACAACTTCCCCCATTAATTCGTGCCGAATTCCCGTTGGGCGACTCTGCAGGGCTCTTTTTGGAACATTTTTGAGGGATTTGAGTGTTCACGCCTGTCTCAACCAGGACCAGACCCTATGGCTTACTGGCAAGTAACAAATGTTCCCTGTCTCAGTCTGCAGAAGCCTTGTTAACAAAACAGGACTGATTTCCTTTATCTGTTCATTCCAAATGGGATGGAGAACCCAAATTTCTGCTCAGATTTTCCCTTGAAGAAGGTCAGGACACCTTATCCCTTCTCCCCATATCGTAGCATCTTGGACAAAAATTGTCCTCAGCAGCTGCCCAAGTAGCGATGAGTAAAACAGCCTTTCCCCAAAAGAAACTCTGTTATCGTCAGATACGTGTTTTGTCTGTGTGCTTGCTGGATACCTTTGACCCAGTTCTCTTCACTCTGCAGAGGAATCAGTCACTTCTCACAGGGTTTGTACACGGGACATTCTTTGACGATGGAAGTGTCGGGCTCTTACAAGCTAAAGGTAACTCAAGTTAGCTGTAGGCGGATGGGACGGGCAGGGCACAGGGCCTTACCATGAGGACATGTGGGTCAGTACAGCTTAAAGCCATAGAGCATGGACTCTGAGTCAGACCTGGATTGAAGTCCTGGTGTCATCAGAGGTAACTACAGATTATTTAACCATCATAAGCCTGGTTTCCTTATCTGTGAAAGAGGGAGAATGATACCTCTGTCTCAGGGGTGTTTGGTTAGGAGAAATCTGTGGAGGTGCTGAGCACAGAGAGCCTGACTTGTAGGTATCAAGAGGCAGCCATCAGGAGAGGTGTACAGGACCAACCAGAGAGGGCCACAAAGCCGGCTGAGCCTTCAGCGGAGAGGAGCAGGAACTGAGGCTGCTCCGTGCAAGCACGTGAGTGCTTCGTGTCTCAGCTTTTTGCTTCCCCGTTCTTGTGCCCTGTCTTTTCTGTACCTCGTGGCTCCCACAAGTTCCTGTGTGCCATGACACCATGTGGCTCTGACTCCCTTGGTTTCTCTTAGTTTCTAAGGTGTGGGATCTGGCCCAGCTCCTCTTTCTATACCAGGCCACAGAAGTTTCCAGCCAGCCATTGGATTGGCTGCCCTTGGGGTATGTGCTCATCTTGGTTCAGGCAGCTGTAGTCAGGAGGGGAGGTCATGTGGTCCCTGCACCAGCATCTGTGACTTGGGAATGGGTACACAGTGGCACAGTATGGCATTTCTAGGACTACTAGGATTGGAGACAATATGCTTCTCCTATATCATTTTCTTAAAAGACTCCTACTTCATTAGCACTATTGGGGCAGAGCTTGGTGTCCCTTGCATAAAGGACCTGGAAGGTGCAATTTACCTTACGAAAGGAGTGATTTGTCACTTTCTGGCCCTGCTTCAGTTTTTTTAAGTGTGTAACTCTGGTCTAATTTTATATATGTGTGTATGTATGGCTCCATCATAAATAGGCGTGCATGCATGCACACACAGATACACACACACACACACACACAGTGGCTTATGTCCAGTTCGTCACATTGCCTCTTCAAAACAAATTATTTTACCCCTAAGACCAGCAGAAGGATACAGTCCAATGAGAGAAGCATCAAAAGCAGTGTGCTGCCATGCTCTAAAAATTGGCAGGTTACATGTCAAAGACAATATTTGATAAACCTCATTGGCTGATGTGGCTATTGTGTTTGTTTATTAGCAAAGCCAGTATTTGTTATAAAATCTTGAAACTGGTCTAAAATTTAAGCTACCCAAGGGATATTAAGGCCATGTCTTTATATCTCTCATGGTGCCACATGCTATCAGGAACATGGATCCTCAATGAGTAATTGTACAGTGGTAAGACCACCTGAGCGGAGGTGAGAAACTGGATTCTGGTCCTGGTCCTAGCTTAGCATTTTCCACCTTCTTGATATGGAGCAAGCCACTTAATTTGTGGAGATCTGTTTCCTAATTCTAATGTGCACATTGAACTATAATGTCCCTTCCAACTCTAAAACAGACTTTAAGATTTTACTTCCTGTCCTGTTTTCCTTGTCTGGTTTCTCTCCAGATTCTGCCCTGCTGAGCGATTGTTTCGACACAGCAGAATAAAGCATCATTATAGAATAGAGTCTCATTCTAACCATATTATAGTTACTCTAAAGGCACACGAACTAATAAAATTCTAGTGAAACTATAAAATTTTGTTTTAAACACATAGAATGCAGTTGATTGCATTTTTTAAGCATAGGAAAACACACCAAAATGCCAATGGTGGTTCTAGGGTGCTGGGATCATTCAGTGGTTGTTCTTCCCTGTAAATTCTGTGTAATGTAAAACATTTCGTGTATAGTATTCTAAATACTTTTATAAAAATAAGGATTATTATAATGAGACTAATACTAGAAAGGAAGTCGAGAGGCCAGAATTTTGATCTCGCTTTGGTTTCTCGTTTGTAGTGTGAGGATAACTCATACTTTACCAAGTTTACATAGGTGTTATGAGGCTCACATGAGGGAAGGTCTTAAAAAGTGCTTTGAAACATGTTGCAGGCCTAAGAAGATGTCGATATAGCAGGTGCAGGAGAATTACTTGTTGACCAGGTCAACAATTTCCTATGTTGTTGATGCTCCTCTTCATTCAAGACTGGGCAATGGTCGTTTCTTCCAGTTTGCTTTCCTGTGCTGGAGAGAAGCTGCCCAAGATCGAAGTTTGGGGAGCTGTGGGGGAACAGAAGTATGTGTGGGCAGAGGTTGAAAATAGAATTGGTTGCAGAAAATAGAATTGGTTGCGGCCGACTGCGAGAAATCTCTCTCAAGGTACCCAGGTTGACCTATATAATGTGTTGACTTCTACCAGAAACTTACTCAAGGTACCCAGTTTTGTGCGTATGAGGAATTATAACAAATTAGGAACGCAGGCACATTACTGAAGAGATTGAGTTAAACAAGCAGAATTCAAAATTAAGGACGTACATAAAGCTATGTGCATCAAGCCATTTCTTGGTTTTGAGTTTATAGTTTTTACAAATTATATAAGAAAAACTATCTACAAGCCAACCTCAGTGAGTAAACAGCAGGATAAAAACAATGAACAAGAATAATTAAATCAATCATATTTTATTTTTAGCCAATAAAAATTAGCGATAATTTAGTATGTTCATTTCCCCCAGGGGCTGAGACACGGATGTGAGGAATAGCAGGGCAGCTTTGTTACGCTAGTTTGTTCTGGGCTGAATATTAGAATGTCCTGGGGAGCTTAAACAGATGTGTATGCCAGGGCCCACCAAGGCATGATTTAATTTATTCTGGGTTGGGGCTGGGATGTTTTGTTAAATGTTTTTTTCAAGTTCCACCACGCGATTCTAATGTGCCTGTGAGTTCAGAAGATCGTAGAAAGAGAAAGTGAATTATCGGACTGGAAATGACCAGTTAGCCTGCTTTACTGGAGCGAGGGAGCCGTGGCCTGGAGATTAATAAAGAGTCTTTGAATCTACAATAGGAAGTCATCATTTGATTCTAGAGGCAGGACTCAGAAGGAAATAAGGCTATGGGAATGGTTGCTGAAAAAGTTCTGTCAGCTCTCAATAGTTAGGTGAAGGCGCGGGAGAGGCAGCATTCACTTCAGCTGTGCCCACTGCACGCTCTGTCCAGAGGCCTGGTATGTAGAACACTGACAGGATGCTGGATGAGCACAGATGGACGTGGTCTCAGTGCCTGTGCCCCAGATCTCCCTAACCTGTATGGCGGTGAGGCCAGCACCTCCTTGTAAGATCAGTTTGCTGAAGAACAAAAAGGGACCTTGGTGACATCATTACTAACTCGCATTTAATAAGAATGTGTGGTTTCAGGACCCTATTTGTTGCATTTAAAAAAAAAACAAAACAGTATTCTGCATGAACACTAGACTTTATTTTGAATGAATTTTGACCATTTTTAGTAATTGAATCCACATTTAAAAGTGGAAGGGTTGCCCACTGAGAAGATTCCAGAGAACGTACTGAATCATTACCAACATAAAACATGTCTTCTGCACCAAGGGTTGCTAAGCCCTAGGTGCCTGCTGCATTAGGACTGTTAGGAAGTAGTGTACTCACTTTGTCACCCAAGCAATTACATGTCCATTAAGACTGGGGAAGTACCATAGAGTCATTAAGAACTGAAAAGAAGCCGATGAACTTGACTTATCTACTGTCAAGACTTGTAAAGGTGATGAAATGCCTGTTCGAAGTAAGCTGAAAATAAACTGAAAAGGGGAAAATAATATTTTCTCCAGACTTTACATAGGTAGAAAGCAGAAATTTTCAGAAATTAGTAAGAAAGTGAGGGAGAGGGAGTGTGAAAGTATGTGTGGGTGTTTGAGCATTTAAGTTTTAATAAAAATGGTGGCAAAAGGTAGAACTGAAAAAGACAAGGATGTTGGAACTCATTAGCAAGGGCAAAATGACCTTAAAACTGTATAATACAGAACATTTGACTGTGGTCCCACATTAATATTTTGTGCCTCTTCTGAGTAGTCTTGGAGCTGTGTCACCTTACCCCCAGTGCCCCTCCCCTCCAGAAAGCCCTGCCTCTGGTCTTCAGTCACACTTAGGATGCCGGCGGCTGTGAAACCTAAGGAGTCATCCTTCCTTGGAGGTTGGCCTGACTAGGCACAGTGTCCCGAAGTGAAGATAGGTCATAACCACAGACATGCCAGTGGCTGAGGGGAGCCTGAGGACACGAGGCTCTGTCCCACCCCATCGGTTGCATTGCAGTCCTTAAGCTGGCTTGCAAATTTAGGTGTGGGAGACACCGAGACAGACATGTAAATCCGGGTACCCTCTTCACTCGGCCAAGAGTAAATCTAGAGGTTTTCTTCAACTAAAGCTGTGATCGTTGAAGGGCGTAGAATGCACAGGGAGCCCCAGAGATCCTTAGGAAATGGTGGAGACATGTATTAGGATGCTCCAGAGGAACAGAACCAAAAGGGTACAAAGAGATAATGAGAGATTTTATTGTAGGAATTAGCTCATGCAATTATGGAGGCCAAGAAGTCCCATGAACTGCCATCTGCCAGCTAGGAAACCAGGAAAGCCAGTGGTGTAATTCATTCTGAGTCCAAAGGCTCAAGACCGGGGCGCACGATGTCCAGGGGTGGGAGGGATGAGAGGGATGGATGTCTGAGCTCAAGGAAAGAGCAAGTTGGCCCTGCCTCTGCCTTTCTGTTCTGCCCTGGCCCTCAGTGGATTGGATGATGCCCATCGCTGGTGAGGGCCATCTTCTTTACTCAGCCTACCAATTCAAATGCTAATTTCTTCTGGAAATATCCTCACAGAAACACCCAGAAATGTTTTAGCAGCTGCCTGGGCATCCATTGGCCCAGTCAAGTTGATGCATAAAATGAACCATCACAACACATAAAAGTTCTGGCATTTACGAAATTCTTCTCCTTTGGCCTCCCCTACATCCTGTAGCTCAGCATCTATCACGTCAAATGCCCTATCCAGAGCAGCAGCCAAATTCCTAAGTGAAGAGATAAAAAGCAGTCAGTTCCCACCCAAGAGAGTGAGGGGCCAGCCTGGGTCCTTCTCTCACAAGAAATGTGTATTAACATTGACACTTGAATTTTTAATCCACTTTATCCAGTTGCTCATTCTGCTCAATAATGTTAGTTAATGGCCTCAGTTACCCAGTGATTCATAGAAACAAGTCTAGTGACTGGACATCTGTCCCAGCACAGGATCTCTCCCACCCTGGCATATCTCAGCCCAGGTCACTGAACTACCCATCAGAAGGCCCATGGCCTGTGCCGTGACAGCAGCCCCCTCCTCATGCCCTTGCCTTCCTTCTGGGAGTGCCCCCTAAACCCCCCACCCCACCCCTTTTCCTACCCTCCTGCTATATCCTCTACTGTTTTATTTTTGTGGTTTTGCTAAGCTCGGTGGTTATAAAATAATGCTAGTACAACGAAGCCTGTGCATTTACATTCTTTTTAAGTCGAGTAGCTTTGTTCATACAGCTGTGACCTGAACCTCCGGCCCTGGGTAGCTACTCCCTGGCAGCAGGGGTGAAAGTGTGGCTGGCTGTGTGGACATACACCCTCTGTGAAGGAGAAACAGGAGGTGAATGTACTACAGCGGTGTCTTATTGTGTGAAAACAGAAGTAGTTATTAATGCTTAGGAAGGGAAGTAGTTAATTAACTGCTTTGTACTGAAAAGATAGCTTAAAACCTTGAGACTAACCCAGACTCTCTTTTCTACCTCTAGGAGAGAGCGAAATGGCTGAGGATCCTTAGGTCAGAATGTGTGCTCTGACATGCATCTCACTGGTGGAATAAATTTACCTGGAGCTTTTCAGGCTCTACTTGCCTGGGTACCCTAATATCAGTAGACATGATGTTTACAATCAGAGGGCAGCCTGTGGCCAGGGAACGGAGGGAAGGACATCACTCACTTCTGAGGACATAACCTTCGCTAGTCTATGAACTCCTTGGGATAGTACTAAGTCCATGAGGTACTCATTCTGTATCCGGAAGCCTACCTAATAGAGGAAGTACTTAATAATTGTCTTTCTGAATGTGAGGCTCTAAGCTCATGTCTCGCTTGGGCTGACAATGCCGTTTACTAAGTGCAGTGGAACAAGAGGGTGCCAGTCGGGGTGGTCTGCAGCAGACCTGCCTCCACGCAGGGCATAAGGGGCCTTGGAGATCTCTTGCTTAGCAAGACGAGGATTAGTCATTTAGGAAGACAAAGTGGACACTATTTTGAGGTTATTTACTAGGACTTACCTTCTGGGGGTAACTACCTTTGTTGAGTACCTACTGTGTGCTAAGCACTGTTCTCATTTGGTTTTACAACTGTAGAATACACAGTATTTTCTTCATTTGTATATGAAGAGACCAAGTGAAGCTCGGAGAAATTAAATAACTTGCTCACAGTCACAGCTAGTGAGTGGTGATTTTGGAATTTAAACTCAGTTGCATCTAGGTGCAAAGCCCACCCTCTGCCTCAGCAGTACCTCGCACATAGAAGGCACTCAGCAGATATTCTTGGAATGAATGAATGAATTTCCCTTTCTGCTATCTTCATCCTTCTCTCTGGCCTCTCCCTGGTTCTTCCTCTGCCCTGGACTGAGGTTTCAAAGTGACGTCGACTTACGTTTAAAGATTTTAGAAGAGGTTGCTGTTAAAATGCAATGTGCCTTTCCTGGAGGAGTTTGGCCCTTGTCTGACACATTATTAGCCCAGATCCCTTCTCCATCATCCAGACGAGTGCAAAGAGGCCTGGAAGTGGTCCAGGTAAATTTGATTGGCAAGAAGGAGAGGGGGTAGGTGAAGCCTGCAAAGCAGTGAGGGAAGGAGAAAGGCCGGAAGAAAGAATCTGGAGACACAATTATCCTTGCAAAATTTTCAAAAGGGTCAGACACCATTTTCCTTGGGATGCCCAATATATTTGCAGAATTAACAGAAATCGGTACCCTGCATTGTTTGGGACGTTAGGGCAGGCCATCGCAGACTGAGGCTCTAAGGAGAATACCCGCCCAGAGCCACCTCAGGGGTGGCGGTGGCCCCGGCCAGGGTGTGGCGCCGCGGGTCTCCGCAGGCGGCAGGAGCTCGGAGGCCATTGGCTGGCGCACTGGCGGCGGAGGGGCGGGGAGCGCCGCCGAAGGGGACTGTTTGCTCCTACGGGCTGTAGATGGAGCTGTCCGGCCCCGGCGAGGGGAAAGGCGCCTGGAAAACGTTCTTCTTCTCCCTGGCCGGCCCGAGCGGGGAACAGCACTCCCAGGATGCAGTTTGTGTCAACACGGCCGCAGCCTCAGCAGCTGGGCATCCAGGGCCTGGGGCTGGACGGCGGGAGCTGGAGCTGGGCCCAGGCTCTGCCCCCAGAGGAGGTCTGCCACCAGGAGCCGGCGCTGCGCGGGGAAATGGCTGAGGGAATGCCGCCCATGCAGGTGGGTGCAGCCCCAGCCCAACGCCATGGCCGCGCCG